AATTATTCTGTTGTATTCTCCCCAACAGGCTTTCTTACCTCTTGATGCCTCTCCCTGGGAACTGAGCTGGTTTTAAGTGGCAAAACAAATGATCCTCCAAACACTGAGGTTTACTGTAATCCACATTTTGTGTTACAGAAAAATATTTTCTAGTTGTATGATGGCACACCATTCAAAAGCATTTATACAAAAGATGCAGGGAGCCATTTTGAAAGATTGGTGTTAGAAAAAGGAGCCAGTTTTGAGATATTGAGATGAGGAGTTGGGAAATTAAAAAAAAATTTTTTTGGACCAAGGATTTGATGTAGGAAAGGCATTTTTTAAAATCCTTTTGAAAGCAAGAGATTCATTTGCTAGGACCAACTGCTGACTTTGAATAACTGTGATGGGAGACCTAATTTTCCCTTTTTTACCATAATTTGAACACATTTTCCTCAAGGGTTAAAGCCACAGCCAACAACAGTATGTGCTAATCTGAGCACCATTTGATAGAGCAATTTAAGCCTTAGGCAAAGTAGATCTCAAGCATTTAGTTCTTTTAGTTGTATATATGTTCTATAAACAAAGCAACTTGAAATATGAGTATTTTACAGTTTTCCTCCTACTTGGTAAATTTCTGGTCATTTCTGGAAAAAATTCAAAATAAAGACCAAACGTGGAACTGCCAGAACAGAGCTGAGGTTGAGAGGCAGCCTGCCTTGCTTGGAGGATGAGCAGCCAACTGGAAGACTTTGCACAGCCCTGCTCACTAGAGCAGGAGTAAGAGTACGTTCTAAATCCCCTGGCTCCCCATCAATTCAGTTGGACACCAAAACCATGCCAGAAGTCTGAGCAAACATGCCAGGCCTGTGATCAGGACCCCCAAATTGTCCACCAGTTGGATAGCACATATGCTATGGCTGACCAAATACATGCTGGTCAGATCTTCCTTAGCTATGCAACATAACTCATCACAAAAGCTGCTATTTTATTAAATTCCTTCCATGTCCCAGAAGCTTCACCAGCTGCACAATTTATAGGCATTTTTTCCAGTCCTTACCGCATTTCAAAGTATGATTATCCCCCTTTTACAAATAAAGTGAGGCTCAGAGAAGTAACTGATACTCAGTCACTGAGATGATGTGTATCTGAGTGGAAAACAAGTAGAACAGTGGTTCTCAACCTTGGCTGCACATTAGAGTCACCTGGGAATCTTTTTAAAATCCTGATTTCTGGGCCTCATCCTCCGGAAATCCTGTTTCTTTGTGACTCATGTTGTGGCCTCACCCCATAACAAAGAAACAGAATTTCCGGAGGATGAGGCCCAGAAATCAGGATTTTAAAAAGATTCCCAGGTGACTCTAATGTGCAGCCAAGGTTGAGAACCACTGAACTAGAGGATTCCAGCGGACGGATATACATGATACAAACTGTACTTGTTTTCAGACTCAAAACCAAAAGCCAAGGTTGCTAAGGATGGCATGTAGAAATCACAGCATTGACAAAAGGCTGTGATAACTATGGAACATTGAATGGTACCATCAGCAGGGCTGTATTTCCCCTTAAGTCCTGCCGTTCCCCCAGGTCAAGTACTGTAACACCTGTCCTTGACCTGGTACATCAGTGGTTCTCAACCTTGGCTGCACATTAGAATCACCTGGGAATCTTTTTGAAATCCTGATTTCTGGGCCCTATCCTCCAGAAATTCTGTGGTTTTTTTGTTATGGGGTGGGGCCACAACATGAGTCACAAAGAAACAGAATTCCCAGAGGATCAGGTCCAGAAATCAGGATTTTAAAAAAATTCCCAGGTGATTCTAATGTGCAGCCAAGGTTGAGAACCACTGTGCTACATGGTAGAGAATGCGGGCTGCTCAGAGTTAATACCGTACATCTGTCAAGGTGTCAACTTGTGCTGGGGAAGAGGCCCAGACTTCAGTTACAATAAGCTCTGATGTGCACCAGAATCACCTGTGAGCTCAAAACACACATTTCTGGGCCCTAGGTCTTCTGATTTCATAGGTTAGTGGTGGGTTTCAGACTTTCGTTTTTTTTTTTTTTTTTAAAGAAGCTCCCAGGTAATCTTGATACCCACAAAAGTTTTAAAATTACTGCTGTTAATGTCATGTTTGGGAGGATGAAGTCTTACTCAGAAGTCTGCCCAACCATAATGAGCGACAGTTGTGGGCTGGAAGAAAAATTCAGCTTATAGGAATGCACGAAGGGACACCCATGAAATGTGCACTTTGTGCGGTTACTTCTTCCCTGTCCCCACCAATGTCTGCCTCTTTGTATTTACTCCCATTAATACTTGGGTCAAGAGAACATTAAATCAGGTCTTCAGTCAGTATTTATCTCAGTCACCCAATGAATACAGAGTTTCATGGAAATCATCCAAACTTTGCTAATTATATAAAAGACGGAAATTTTGTTCTTGAACATGATTCTGTAATTTTGTTTTGTTTTGTCCTTTTGAAAGGGCTAATTGTATTGGGAAGCTCATCTACCAATCTATCCATCAAATCAACTTGCCCTCACCATGCAGGCCATGCAGGCCCTCTGGGAATGCTTTCCTGTCATCATCATGATACTGATCAGCTTTCTAACCTTGAAAAATGCCATGACAATGTCCTGGCAGTGACATTATTTATGCCTTTGGGGCTCCTGTCTTTCAGAGGCCTGGTTTGTTATCACAGTCCTTGCAATTGTTAGGCAGGATAAGGTCATAAGGCAAATGTATTCCCTACCTGGTACTGAGGTTCCGAGTGCCACGAACACGACCGCAGTCACCGAATCTTTCAGGCCAATGGTGCAGCCGAAGTGGGAAGCCAGGTCGCCAATGAAAGCTGTCAGTACGCCAATCATGATGATGGAGACAATGAAACATGCCCAGCCATTCCAGTATTCTGTAGGGGGCACGAAGGCAAAGAGGACCTTCCAGAACACAGTCAGAAAGTGCATCACATAATCGAAGCAGGAGGGCAGCTTCTCCTCCCCACATTCGTCGTCGTCATCATCTTCCCCTAGAGAGAAAGGAACAGAGCACATTTCGTCACTCCCTTTCTATCAGGGTCTCCACCTCTCCAACCCCTCCTTCCCAGGCCTGTCACCCTCCCCTCTGAGTGACCTGGAGGCCCTTAGAGGTGGGTGAAGCTTAGAGTTTTCTAAGAATGAATCATAACGAAACAATTATTGTATCATACTCAAGGTCATGCTCAAAGTCATGGATTAATGGCAAAAAAACCTTAATCCCCTCCACACAGTTCTGGTTACAGGCAATCAACACACCCTTTCGATTCTCCTGTCACCTCCAGTGAGATTTGTCACTTCAGAGAAATGACAAAGATTCCTTCCAAAAGGCCATGGAGCCCTGTGCCAGACTCCGAAGGAAGCCAGTTCTGAAGAAAGGGAACTGACAGAATTCTTCTACCAGGATTCTTTTCTTGGAACACATTGCTGTCTTCCAACGTCAGCTCTGGACATTCACGGGTCTATAATCCTCAGAGGACAATGTTCACCCGGGCCCTCCACCGTGGCTCTGGGCCTGCATCTCTCTCCAGCTCTATCTCCCGCAACTACTTCAAACTCAGACTGCATCCTAGCCAAATGGAATTACTTGCATTCTTTTTCAAACCATATGTACTGTCTCCTTTTGTCCTTCAGAACTAAATGTACTTGGCATGTCCCAATCCCCCCTCCTGATCCTTCCCCACCTGTCCTTTGAAACTCTCTTCCTTTATGAAACCTTCCCTGAACCCCCTGGCCACCAGCCAGTGCTGGAAACTCCTCCTCAGCTGCCACTTGTAACACTAGATCAGTGGTTCTCAAAGTGGACCCTCACCAGCAGCGGCATTACCAGGGCACGTGTTAGAAATGCACATTTCGGGCCCCATTGAATCAGAAACTGGGGGGTGGGGGATGGAAGGCGGTCAGCCGTCCGTATGAACCAGGCCTTGAGGTGACTGTCATGCAGGAGTCCAATGAGACCCAGTCTCTAGATCAGGGGTCCTAAAACTTTTTAAACAGGGGCCAGTTCACTGTCCCTCAGACTGTTGGAGGCCGGACTATAGTTTAAAAAAAAACTATGAACAAATTCCTATGCACACTGCACATACCTTATTTTGAAGTAAAAAAACAAAATGGGAACAAATACCACATTTGTATTTGCATGTGGCCCACGGGCCGTAGTTTGAGGACCCCTGGTCTAGATTATACCTGTTCACTTTGCCTCACTTCTCCAGGTAACGCTGAGCCCGTCAAGGGCAGGAATGTGTTCCTTTTTGTGTTCCTAATGTTTGGCCTCGTTTCCACCATGTGGAATAAGCTGGCTAAAAGCTTGTTAAGTGAGTGAATACATGCATTAATTTCTCCTGACTTTATATAACTACTTAATTACATAATATATACACATATCATCATTTTGCCAATTAGATTATACTATCAATACGGAAAGAAATGCATACTGTTTAAATGCAGAAAGAAAGGCTTACCGCTTAAAGGAACCAGGAAATCAATGTAACAGTGTTCGAAATTGGAGACTTTGTTTATGGTGTGACATAACCCCCGTTCACATATTTTTAAATCGCGCTATTGAAGATCAGTTCTTTCTAAAGTGGGGGCAAACACATATGCGTGTGTTTCGCAGCCGTTTTAGAACTTCTCCTTGAGGCCTTTGCTCACCACCCCAAGCCCCCAACCTCGTCTCCAGGGTCTACTACCCCTCATTCACCTGGTGCAGCTGGCGGCAGGGGAGGCCGTCCGACCTCCCAGAGGACTGCTGGATCTGAGGCTGCCCACACAGAGCACATGTGAGTGCTCCCCAGAGGAGAGGGGCTCTCCTCGGGGAGGCCCCCTCTGGTGCAAGTCATGTTGGAAACACCCTCTCACTCACAAAATGTGGAAAGGGGAACGGCGGGGTTTATCATCTGTCCTTTTACAGGGAGGGAGGAGAGGCGGAGGCTAGCTCTTCCAGGAGGCCATGGTCAGAACCAGCATGCAAACAAACTTGGAGGATCTGTCTCATCCTGAGGCTCTGGAAGGTCTCGCGTACACTGTTGGGAGGAAGCCTCCAGCAGGTGAATGGCATCACCCTGGGAGACTAACCAGGGAGAGGTCTTAAGTCAGGTCACCTGAGTGACTCACTGGAGGGAACAAGCATTGTTGACTGTGTTCAAGGAACCAACAAGGAGCCAGGAGACCCAGGTGGCTCTCATACTTGGTAACCTAGGGAAGCAGACTAAACCTGAGCCATGGGGATCCCTGTAAATATACTTCTGAGAAAATGAGACTTAAGAACAACCAGTCACAGACAACCACCTCGGCTTTCCCCAAAAAGGCAACCGCTTAAGCTACAGCCAATCAAACTATGTCCTCTATTCTGACAAAGTCTCTCTCCTAGCTCCTGTGGGCGGAGCACTCCTAACCACTTCTGGTTTGATTCTGCCCAATTCGAATTCATGCTCACTCAAGTGAACTTGGAACATTTTAATGTGCTTCAGTGTATCTTCTAACAACCATTTCCTCCAGCACTCATGCTGTATGGTCATTACATATTTCTAAGATCACCCTTGCCTAAAAGCAGGAGATGTTTTTAAATAAAATACGGCCCTACCCGGTTTGGCTCAGTGGATAGAGCATCGGCCTGCAGACTGAGGGGTCTGGGGTTCGATTCCAGTCAAGGGCACATACCTGGGTTTCGGGCATGTACCTGGGTTTCGAGCACATCCCCAGGAGGGGGTGTGCAGGGGGCAGCTGATCGATGTTTCTCTCTCATCGATGTTTCTAAGTCTGTATCCCTCTCCCTCTCCCTTCCTCTCTGTAAAAAATGAGTAAAATATATTTTTTAAAAAAGTATGTATTATGGGTTGAATTGTTTCCACCAAATTCATTGCCCTAAATCCTAGCACCTCGGAATGTGAATATATTGGAGACAGGGCCTTTGAAGAGATATGTAAGCTAAAACGACGCTAATCCATGCTGACTTGTATCTGTATAGGAAGAGGAAGTTGGGACTCACAGCCAGACAGCAGGGATGTGGGCACACACAAGAAAGACCACATGAGGACACAGCGAGCAGGTGGCCCTTCCCTCTCCCAACTCAAGGAGAGCAGCCTCAGGAGAAACCAAACCTGCCAACACTTTGATCTTGGACTTCTATCCTTCAGAACCGTGAAAAAATGAATTCCTATTGTTTAAGCTCCCTAGTCTGTGGGTCTGTGGTATTTTGTCACGGCACCCTCTCAGAAGCCTCCTATGCCGTAACGCTAATGTGTAGGAACAGCCATTCCGTGTTTCTATAACCCACTCCTTTCTTGTGTCTTTCAACCATTTCTTCTTCTTTTTTTTTCTTTCTTCTTTCACTTTTCTTCCCATTTTCCTTTTACCCTAAATGTTAGCTCCAGGTAGAACTGTGAGAGCTGCAATTGTCAGGGTGAATTGGAGGGAATGAGGAAGAAAAGCACCATGTTAATTCTTTCTCTACCTCCTTCTTCCCCAGTTGCCTATTCCAAAGTGGAGGCAGGGGTGGGGGCAAGGGGGCTGCTGCATGCACCCCAGGAAAGTTCTGCAAAAACACTAGACTTTCAAGTTATATTTATTTTGTACCTGATACTTTTAGAGATCCGTATTTGTGGACATTTAATAATTTCATAGGATATATGATCAAAACAGTTTAGAAAACATTGAATTTTAATCAATCATCTATAGAAATACAGATTATTCTGCCCCTAACTCTACAAAATTACTTAATTTTGAGTGTCTAAGTCCATATTGTGAAGATGAACAAGGAAACAAATCATGAAGCTTCTCAGAAGAAATGACACATCAATCGAGAGTAGAGATTATATTTGTCTTCAAGATGAACATAATGACACCTTTCCTATGAGGGGTGTGCCAGAAAAAATTACATCACCTCTGTAAAGTATTTGAGGATATTTCAAGATAATAGTTATTATGGTAGTTACTATTTTCCTATAATTAAGGATTGTGACTGTATTTCCATATCATTAATTAATTGCTCAGTTCATATGCTGGGTTATCAGGGGTTACATTCTAGGCTTTCAAAAACAAAATGTAGCTTGCCCTCTGGAATCAACTTCATGATCTATACATGTGTAATGAAGAGAGAGAGAGAGAGAGAGAGAGAGAGAGAGAGAGAGGAGAGAGGTTGAGATTTCCTCCTGTGGGCTTCTAGCATTACAGGGAATCTTAAATATTTTAATACTTATGTCTGGAAAGGGAGGTGCATCTGTTTTACTGCATTTGAAAGTAGAAGTGGCTTTCCCTTCTTTTTCCCTAGGATCTCATTACTCTTTACAGATTTTAATCTCCACCTCAGATGTCATTTAAATATTAAAAATGACCACTGCCTGCACGGGTGATGCACAATTACCCTGTCTTGGAGAAGGACAAAGAAACATGTGCATCCATCACCATCTGGACTACACTTAAAAGTGTGTTCCTTGCAAAGATGAGTGAAGCATTAAAAAAAAAAAAAAAGAAAGCCAAGCTGGGAGCATCTTTTATGTGACAGCAAAGTTGATGGTAATCTGCCGGTTCTGCAGGCCGGCCAGCCCAGGGCACTGGAGGCTGCGTCATTCTTTCCAGGCCCTCCCCTGCATTAGCAGACGGCAGACTGGTGGGTTTCCTTTTATAGGAGCCCAAGCAAAGGATCCTCTTATCTCAGAATCCTTCTTTTCAGCTTTATGGATTCTACTAATGGAAAGATAACAAAAAGTGCTGTACTTGATTAATCGGCTCCATAGCCTTTTACATGGTTTCCTTGATACATGTTGGACATCCTAGAGAACTGTGATTACTAAAATAGCCGAATCGTTAAAACCACAAGTAGTGGAGAGGATCACTTCCGCTATTGATAGAAGAGTGCTTGCATGGCCCTGCTCTGGAGCACGAACACAGACTATCATCAGCACAAGTGATCATGGAAGGCAACCCCTGGTCTTGGCACCTGCAGGTGACATAACATCTAAAGTAAACCAGAGATTAGTGTACATCCCCCTGGAGA